GGAGATCGATCTCCAAAATTGGTTGCAGCTGCAGTTGGCAACTTTAAATTTGCAAAGTAGGGAAGCAAGGCATTGAGCAAGATTTTCACCTGTCCTGACTGTACTCTTCCTTAAAGGGGGGGGGGGGAGAGAGGCAGGCTCTTTAGCCACCATCCTGTTTTAATATTTTACCATATTATAGGTACTCTATCGTAATCCAGTCTGCTAAAATGTAAGACTACACAACAGCTCTCTTAATTTTGAAGATTCACAACATGGTAAGAGCACTGACAGCAGACTTAAAAAAGGAAATTATAAGCTGAAATTCAAAACGATATAAAATGTAATCATAGAGGCTAATTCACGCATATAGTAATATCTAGGCTTGATATTAACACAATTGCAATGAAGACATTAATGGAGTTTGTTTCTATGTAATATTTTTGGATTGCAGTTTGATCAAAGTAACAATTCTTTTGACTTACATCTATAATTCTAAATACAACATAATTAATTTAACAATTGTTCTGAAATTCTAGAAGGCAAAAATACTGCCAAAAATTTTTTTTAATTAATCCTCCTTTACTAAATTAAAATGATATAAATGAGGACAAGCTAGAAATTCTGGACTGCTCACGGAAACTAAAATACTCATTCAATTCCTTTTGCCTTCAGCTCTTCTCTAACACGTTTCAGGTAATTAGGATCAGGGTAACCAAAACTAGAAAGGAGATAAGAAAGAGATTTGTTTAAATCAAGGAAACACTAAAACAGATGTTTAATACTATCCATTGCAGAATTGAACTATTTTAAAAATGATTTGCAAATACATAAACTAATTTAACAATTTAAATTATACTTGAGAAAAAAATAATCTCACTGTTGTATGAGTAAGGAATTTACGTAATAATGCTGATACAAAGATCTAATAGAAGAGAAAATTGGTAGCTCAGGGTTGAATTGTGGGGTTCTTGATGCTGAGGTTAGTTATTTTCTTGCAATGTTTAGTTGTTTTCTTGCAGGTGTTTGCAAGAAAACAACCAGGTTCAGTGTTTGTACTGAAAATAATTTACCATTATAACTACTTAAGACACTCACTTTATAAAGTGTACCTGGTGGACTTCAATTATTGCTTTCAGGTTGTTTTTTTAATCTATAATTTAAAACAGATTCCATCCCAATGAAGATAGCTTTAAAGAGAGAAGCTTGGATTCTGGGTTCCTCTTTTGTAAAATCCAACACTCCTACTCTCTGCAATACCACATTTTCAATGCAGCACATTTTCTTCCTCTAGCCCAGCCCAATATTGGCTGAAGCACCCATAGGGAGCTTGGATTTTAAGGAAGGTTAAGAAAATCCATGGAAGTACCCCCATCTTCTTCCAGGCCTTTTGCCTACATGCATTTCTCATTCCCAGATTTCCCTCACTGCCCTCCAGACAATGTGGGATAGGAAAAGAGGATTTGTTCTGAGGAAGAGAATTCCCATGTCTTCATCAAAACCCACCCCAGCCCATTCAAAACATATTTGGAATATTTTAAAGGGGGAGGGGAGAAAACCAGTGAGTAATTAAAAGATATTCCTGCTAAGATTGAATGGGAAGACTGATTGCCACAAGTTATTAGATCAGTCTCCTTAGGACAGAGGCTGAGAAATTCTGGGAGTTGAAGTCCATAAGTCTTAAAAAGTCTCCACATTTGGAAACCCCTGTTTTAGATCAACCATTCCATTCAGCAGGTTCTGACCAGTTCTGGAGAACCGGCAGCAGAAATTTTGAGTAGTTCAGAGAACCGGTAAATACCACCTCTAACTGGCTCCGCCCCCATCTATTCTCTGCCTCATGTGTCACAGCTGATTGGGAGGAAATGGAGATTTTGCACTAACCTTCCCCTGGAGTGGGGAGGGAATGGAGGTTTTACAGTATCCTTCCCCTGCCACGCCTACAGAGCCGGTAGTAAAAATGTTTGAATTCCACCACTGAACCATTCCTAGCATACGTTGGATTGACAATCTCATGTTCCCAGAACATGGGCATTGTAATCCCATATACCTAAAAGCCACCCAATGGAAAACTATTGTTTTATACTATTTCGCTGACAAGAAAATATCTCTTTTGTGATGAAAACCAAGGTATGTTTGCTTCACTCGGCTTAGTGGTGACATGGATTTTATCAACACTTGACAAGTTCCAGAATAATCAAAATTGCATGCAAAATTATATCAGGTGAAATCTATTATTCTTTATCTGAATTTTTTTTTTGAACTTACTATTTTTCGCCTCCGTGAGTACTAGTTTTGTGATGAATGTCATTCCAAGTAACCACGTCATCCACACCAGTTGTTCGCGACTGGCCTACTGTGAAAATCAAACCTTGGTCAAAGGCCCGTTGCAGCAATTTCAGAATTTCTCTTCCTTCTTTGTTGTCAGGTAAGTATGCTGTGCGCACCGTTCCATGAAAATGTTTCCCTGGGTTAGGATGCCTTTCCTGGTTTGGAAAGAGTCAGAAATATTAACATACTCAGCTTGTTTCAGATTTCATTGCAAGAGGCTAACCGTTGTGTAGCTATTCTGATCTGAAGTTGAAAAGATGCAGCAGAAGGGACAGGGGTTATCTGTTGCACTGTTACCACTCTCTTAAAAAAACAATAGCTCTCCCGGCCAATGAAAGGGTAGAACTGCAACCCTGGGAACCCCTGTGCTTGAGTTATATAAATAGTAAGGAGGCACCATAATCTTGGTGCATGCCGTCATCCTCTTCTTGAATTGAACAAATCTTTCTGGAGCTGAAAGCTTTCTGTGAACCTAGGACAGTAATATTGAATCTATGAAATGCATGTCAAAGGTAACATGCCATGACATCTTGGGGGAACATGTCAACATTCACTAGCCCCTGACAACAACTATAGTGGTACCTTGCTACTCAATTGCTTTGAAACTCATCAAATTTGGCACTCAATGCATTTTGATGTGAAAATTTCATCCTGGTACTCATCATTTGTTTGGCACTCAATGCAGAAGCTTAAAATTATCAATGTCAGCTGTCTTGTGACTCACTACATTATTCCTTATGAGAAAAATCTGTTTGGTACTCATTTTTTATACTCATTGTGTCTCCTGGAACCAATTAACGGAGTATTGTACCACTGTACCTTGGTACTCATTGTTAATTCTCAAAGTCGTGCCTTGTTCTCATGTGATTCTTGAAGGCTATGAAGGCCGTGTGACAAAGGGGTGTGTTCTCAAGCAGCCTCCAGACCTTGCAGAACTCAAGAATGAGGGCCATGCTGTTGTGTGGCCTCAGAGCCTCCCAAAATTACCCGAGAAGAGACCAAGCTTCCACTGAGGTGTAGAGGCCATGGAAGAGCATTCTCTGAAACCACTTTAAGGGTGTTGTGTGACCCAGAGCAGCCTCAGGTAGTTCATAGGGTTCTCTCAACAGAAAAGGACATTGCCTGAATAGTGCATGGCAGATCCTGGGGAGCACAGGGGAACTGCATCATTCCCCAAGACTTTAGAGAACAGTGTGAGGTGAATTTTTTGAGTACCAGCGGTGACACTAGGACTGAAGTTGAAGTCCAGGCCTCTTTTCAGACCTACCCTCAGTGCTATTCTCATGTGCTGCTGTTCAGTGACCATCTAGACCACTCTCTTTTGTTCCAGGGGTGGGGAGGAGGTGCCATACCAACAGAATTAAGTTTGACATTTCCCAAAGTTTTAACACTCTGAGCTCAAATAGTTCACACCATTGATTTAAGAAAAGACAGCTTCCTTAAGGAGGAGCCAAGATGTGCAACATGCTACCACCACCATCCTTCCAAAGTATCTTTTCTGCTTCAGATCCAGCTATATAACCATACTTACCAAATTACAAAACAGGGCTTTCTCAGCTATAGTGTTTCTAGGAAGGTCCCTCATTTATGACATAAACTGATAGATCACTTTTTCTTAGCTTCCATCTCAAGCAAATTCTCCGTCTACTGCAGAGGTAAAAATGCACTTCCTCCCTTCCACTCCCCTCCCCCCTGGTCTGTTTTCTTTTTGAACCAACTGATCATGCTAAGAACTTTCTGGATGGTCAGGAAGCTTCCATTGAGGAATTGAAGATATTAAAAAAAGAACATAATGGTGTTCAACCCCACCTACGTTAAGCTCTTTGTTTTATTTACCAATTTCTATAGTAGCTCTTGTGACCATCCCTGGAGATCCACAAAGATAACTTCTCAACATGACATAGAAAAAGATCTGGGTTCTAATTCACTGAAGATTTCTATAAATCTTCCAAAGATTTCTTATGAAAACAGCAATAGCACTTAGACCTACATACTGCCCATAGTGCTTTACAGCACTCTTTGGGCGGTTTACAAATGTCAGCATATTGCTTCCGTCAATCTGGCTCATTTTACGGAACTTGGAATGATGGAAGGCTGAGTCAACCTTGAGCCGGTCAGGATCTAACTCTAGGCTGTGGGTAAAGTTAATGTGCAATATTGCATTCTAACCACTGCGCCACCATGCGCTGATGTTTTCTACCAATAAACCTGTGTCCCCAACATGGCACCCAGGACACTAGTGCCAGCAAAGTATCGCTTAATATTCTCATCAGGCTCCTGGCTTTCTTTCTGTCACATTTATTTTAATTCAAAATAAGAAAGAAGCTCGCCTGCCAAAAAATAGAAAACCCAGCCTCTAACAGAACCCGATAAAGTACCTGGGACCCACATAGACGTTGCCATTTTAAGCAAATATGGTGGGGTGGTTGCAACCAGTCTTTCACTCCTATCCAAGTCTGAAGACATCCCTCCCATAAAAAAAAGAAAGATCTTTGGTACAAAAGGCAGGCTATTAGGAGAAGTGGGGTGAATGGATAAGGGAAGAGGTGGGCAATCTGAATTGGGAAACGAGCGCAGGAAGAGAAATTAAGCCCCATCCACCATTTGCACCATTTACCACTTTCCTATGATAATCATGGTTCAGAATATTTGGCCATGGATGCACCATCACTATTGGTGCATCTTCAACTCTTGAGGGAACATAATGGCAGGTCTGTATGCACTCCATTCTAGCCTCTGCATGGATGTTTAGAAGACTTTTAACAGATTTCTAGATCTCTTGCTTTTACAGACCCAACTGAATTGGTATTACATTATTTCCTTGGAATTAAGTATCTTAAAACAAAAAACAAAAACTAAAATACAAGAGGGCAACTAATTATGGCACAGAAACATCTTACTGTTACTCCAACTTACTGTCTGAATGCCGTCAAATATATTGTAAGTAATAACGATGGTTCCAGAATCCTTATGACCAGGCAAGGAGCTTCTAGTTTTGAAGATATCTATTTTCCCTGGGGGCTGATTTCCTTTTATATTCCCATAGACAACATTGCACACAGGGCAGACCGGTTTGTAATTCATTGCTCTTCCCAAGCAGGCTGCACAGAACGCATGCTTGCATTTGGGTAGCACTTCTTTGTGGTGGATTGTATTCAGGCAGATGGGACAGCACTCCTCTGGTTGGACCTCCGTTGCCTTCCCTACTGGCGGCTTCTGAGAAGGAACCTGATGCATTTTAAAGGCGGTGCCTGTGGCAGCCCCAAGACTGGAATCAGGAATTGCGGCTGCTTTACTATTTGCAGCTACAAATTCTTCACTATTCAGGGACTTCATGACCACCTGTGTTTCCTCTGTGGGATGATTTCCTTTTATATCCCAATAGGCAACACTGCACACAGGGCAGATCTTTCTGTAAGTCATTGCCATTTGTATGCATGGTGCACAAAATTCATGCTTGCATTTAGGTAGCATTTCTTTCTGGTGGATTGTTTTCAGGCAGATGGGACATAATCCATCTTGTTGGACTTCCGTTGCCTTCCCTGCTGGCTGCTCCTGAGAAGGAACCTGCTGCATTTTATAATGTCTTGGCCCAAAGGAGGTGCCTGTGGCAGCCCCAACATTGGAATCAGGAATGGCCGTTGCTTCACTATTTACAAATTCTCCCCTATTTAGAGATTCCATGATGTGCTTCTCAGCAACCAATATATGTTCGGGAAGACCGTAAATGTACAGGTAGTTTTCCTTTAGAGATAGCTTTACTTCGGGATGTTTCTGTTGGAAATACGTAAATAAATCCTTGCAATTTCTTTTCCAATCTTCGAGAGGTTTCAAAGGAATTTTTTTTGTTTGTGGACTTTCTAAATACATCAGGTATTGATACTGAAAACCCTCAGAAGCTTGTGAAGAATGATCTAAAGCTGCATACTTCTGGGGCATAAAAATGATGCGTGTTAAGAGGTCGTTGTCGCAATGTTCCTCCTCCATTTTAGTACAATAGTGGTTGTTTATTAATTCAATTGTCTGATTTAACTTTGGTCTGAGAAATGCAAATACAGCAGCATCAACTTCAAAGCCAGGTGGCTGTACGTGGGGATCCTTTTTTTTATTCTGGTTCTTTGCTGTCATTTCGTCCAACAATGCCTTTGCGTCTAAAACTTCCTTTGTGGGGCCTTGAAGAACAGCTGTGTCCTTGTGTTTTATAATAATAGTGTGTTTGCATTTGCTTTTTATCATCTCACATGCATGGCTCTCAATGAAAGGCACCGTTTCCTGTTTTAAATCTCCTGCTACTTTCTGGAAAAGCAGGACAAACTCCTCCTGAGCTTTCTTAGTAAAGTTTGGTACCCCCATTGAAGAAAACCAGACAGAAGTAATTCCATTCTCAGTGTTGCCTGTGACTAATTTTACATTGAACGCCTCCTCAGTTTTTTTAATTTCTTCCTTGTAGGCTTGTCCAAAATATTCAAAGATACCTGAAGGAACTTCCATCTTGGCCAGATCTTCCAAATCACTCCTGTATCTTCTGTTGTGATCTTCCCTTCCTTCAACACAGTTCTCCTGCTTTTTAGGTTGCAAAAAATTACTGTCACGATGGTCTCTAAGGAGATTCTCAAAATGACAGTGTAACTTTTCAATATCCTCATAGGGTCCCACCACCTTTTCAATACCAAGACGACTTGACGCTCTGTCTATGAGTAAGGTGGGATATAAAGGGATCACCTGATTTCTCTGCTCTTTAGTGAGCAAGTCAGTATTCAAGGTGGCAGAAACCTCAAGAAATATCTAAAAATAGAGAGGAGTACACAAGAAATGTGAGCCAGTACAATAAAAATGATACACGAGATTTAACATAATGGTTCATTTTCTACAGTGAAGAATTTCATAGTGAGACAGCGCCTTCCTACGTTACTCATTTTCTGGTATCAGTCTATTCCTTCTAAAAAAACAAGGTTTTCCAGCATGGCAAATATATTCTCTTACACTTTGGCTTTTAAAGAGGCCTAGATGTTTGTAAATATTGCAAATTAGCAGATATATAAAAAGGTCAGAAACTTAATAGTTTTTATTAAAACTATTTTTAAAAAAGTTTACAAACTTTTTTGGTATTTTGAATTTCTTAAAACTTTTTTGTTCATCTGTATGATCTTCTATGAACATGTATAAACATATAGATGTGCATATGTATGCACACACTTGTACTAAATAATAATATCGAACAAATAACACCTCTGGGGCTTGATTTTGCTAATTGGTAGGATGGAAGTGTCATTATTATGTAAAATTAATTTATAGAACACAATATGGTCTCACAACATTGAAGATCCAGAATTTTCTATGGTCACATGCAATGTGGAGACAGTTGGGAGCTAACATAAGGATTCTAAGTTAAGTAGAAACTTACCTTTTTTCTACCACTTTCATAACCAGCCGCATAGCTTCCCTCATGCTTGTTTTTAGAATTATTCTGAACGGGCAAAAAGTTTGAAGAAAGTGAAGTTGAAAGTGAGCCTATTGCATTTTTTGTAAACATTGTTTCTGCAGCATCAACCACCGCCAACTCCGAATCCGACAAAATTCTTATCTCTAAAGTTATTCCCCCAACTTCTATAGTATGTTCACGATGGGCCTTCACACGCTTCTTCACTTTAAGAAAAAAAAATAGAATGATTAAAATACATATTTGTCTTGCTTATATTTTTAATTCTTGCACCATGATAGGATGTACACATCACACAAAGCCTCTCTTTGAGGGAGATGGACAGCTTAGAAATCTAAACAAACAATAATTGTTCCCTTGGTATGAGCATATTGTATCAACTCAATCACAGAGATACAATTTATAGAAATGTTATAGAAATATAGAAATTATAGAAATCTAACTTGCATGTCTAAAGCATACTGCTTGCCCCTCAGGCTCCAGAAATGCTGAAATGATGTCCTACATAATTCATATTGAGGATAGGTTTAGAAACCTATACAAGGTGAAACTCAACTTATCTTGGTAATGGAATCATGTATATAACAATTTGGCCTGGAATTTCCTATAAGCCCATTTTTGAAATTTTGTGATAAAAACAGAGAAGATTGTTCTCTCCTTCCTGATGCACTTCTTGATTTCAGGGCCCCCATGGAATAAGTCCTGGCCTCTATGACGCTACAGGAAATGGTTATGGAGGCAGAAGATAAATAGACCACTACAACCGTCCCTGAGCTGATGATTCTCCACTTCAAGACCCAGAATTTTCAGCAGCAACCATTTGAGAAGTCCATGCATTTGGAGAGGAGCTTGGCTGATTATTCCAACTTCTTCACCATAAATGCACTTGGATGATAGGCTTATTACTAGTCATTGGGAAATTAGTTGCTTTCCATAGTTTTCTCATTCTCCATGACTAGCATGAAAATGCAAGCAACTTTCTCCCTGAATAAATGTATGTTGAAATTTGCAGCAAGCATAAGGCAACATCACATAAAAGTTTTTGTGATTCCTACCATGTTGTAAGTCTCAATCTAATCCAAGAATCTTAGAAATTCTTAATACAATTATAATTATACACATTATAATTACGTAATTATAATAATGGAATTTGTTTCCATTTGCATTATTGGGGGGGGGAGAAATAAGGTAGTTTAAGCTTGATTGGTGATCAGCATCTACAATCTCCTTCAAATGTTTTTTTTTTAAATTTGTTTGGGACCTCGCTCAATTTAGCAGCTTCCAGAGTGGCTGCCCAAAATTCCTCAGGCAGCAGGGCCATTTTTGAGAAGTTTGGGAGTTGACATCCAAATCTTTGGAAGTTGCCACAGTTGAAAAAATATGGCTAGTTCAGTGATTTCTTATTCAGAAATTTCTTCTAAGAAAGAAGTTCCTTAAGTCTGTAATCTCTGGAAAACACATGGAAGTGTGACTTTGCAAAACACACTGGCTCACGCAATTAATTCCTCCTCCTAGTAGCCATGTACTTTCAAAGTTAATGCAGTTGCTTTGAAG